AGCAAGTCAGGCACAGGGGCACCAGTTTAATAATCCCGCCTAGGGCACCATAAATCCTAAGGATGGCCCTGTGCAAGGGTGTCAATCCTTTGAGCGGAGGGCTGGATCTGTTCTGAGACGTTTCCTGAAAGGCCACAAGGAGATCTTTGGTAAGCCTGGCAATTCTACCTGGGTGGGCCCTTTCCTTCCACCTGGGAGGAACAGATTAATAGGTCGACAACTTGGGAAGCCAGCGGTCAGGAGACACACACACACCGAGACACAGACACACTCACACACACACACTCACCGAGACACGGACACACACCGAGACACACACACACGCACTCAGACACACACACACAGACTCACACAGACTTTCTCTCTCTCTCTCTCACACACACACACACACACACACACACACACACACACACCAAGACAGACACAGAGAGACACACACATATACACAGACTCTCTCTCTCACACACACACAGAGACACACACTCACACACTCCAAGAAACCACAAAAGAAAATAAAGCCACACCATGCAAAAATAATACACATGCAAAAATCATACACTGCCTCCACAAAAATCACACAGGCCCCATAGCCACATTGAGAAAAGACATAACGTAAACCACACATCAGCAGACAGAAAACACAGCTGTGTTTGGGTGTCACAACCTGGGGCGGTGCAAGAGGGTGGTTTGGGGGGCACCAATTGCGGGGGAGCCAGAGGGGGTCAAGGCTCACCGGACTCTCTTGAGGAATCAGGGTAGATAGGATTGCAGATCTGTCTTCCTGCTGTTGGGGAGGTAACGCGTGAGGGCTGCAGGTTTTGACTCCTCGGTGTCTCTTGGGACGTAAGTCTGTATTTCGCAGGGAAACATGAGTGGGGGAAGTTACTTGGTCCTGGCGCTCTGAGTGAGGTTTGAACTCACCACAGCTCCACCCAGCACTTCTGTGGGGGCAGCTCCTGGGGCTGCTGGGACAAACAGCAGCAGAGAAAAGGGCCAGATGGTGGGGGACGGAGGTTGTCCCAGGACTGCTGGGAAGTGGCCGTGGGCTCAGAGCTGGGACAGTGTCAGGGGGCAGGACAGAGGCTATATGTATGGGGGAGGAGCCTTGGGGAGGGGCAAGGGGAGGAAGAGGGGCTCTGTCCTTCTCTCCCCACGCCTCCCCTCAGCCTCAACTTCCCGGGACAGGGGCTAAGCATGTCCTTCAGCTTTCTTGGCCCCTGTCCCCGGCAGCAGGGAGCAGCCCGTGGCCACCCCAGCTGCCTGGGACAGGGCTGAGCAAGCCAGAAACATTCGGGGGGAGAGAGGGGGTACCTAGGCGGAGTAGGCGGGTCTGTGCAAACACGGTCTGTTCCTGAAGTCTTTCCCCCGGCTCATCACTAGATGTGAGGGGGGAGCTCACGCAGACCCTGCTTACACTAACATATTTTAAAACGCCTCATTGTCCCTACCTCTGCTGGGCTTTCTGGCTGCTAATGAGCCGCTCAGATGAGGTGGCCGAGTGGTTCAGGTGATGCTGCTACCCTTGCAGCACTTTTCCAACACAAAATGTTTTCTTTATTTACTGTAACCAACCTGTCCTAATACAATTAATCTACACGTAAAATAAAGCAGAAACAGAACTCCCTTCACACTGGTATGCAAGTGAAAGTGCCCAAGACTCTAGTGTCATACGGAATAACTCTGTTTTCTGAGATAATTTGTATTTTAACATCAGACTTTTATTCTTCAACTAATCATTAATTTCCTGTTTCATTTCATTTGCACTGGTAACAGTCACCTATTCAAAAGCTGATCATATCTGTTCGTTTTCTCTTCATCCCCATTTCCACTTAGTGAACGCTTCGATAAAGTCATGGTTTAGATGCTTTCCACTTCAGTGAGTTCATGTACATATATATCGGTCTTCTCCCACAAGTGTTGGTGGAAGAGGGTCTGACACTCGGTGGGAAGGTCTGTACCATGAGAAAAAGCACCTCTATTCGAGTTTCACGGTTTTTAAAACTTTCAGAGTAGCCGGAGGAAAAATGGTGCAACTACATAATACACAAGCGCAAACCTAAGAGAAAAAAGCATGGAGTCAGGATTCAACATTTGAGTATCCTGCAGTCTGAACCTGGAACATTTCAAGCAGGCAGCCAGACGGGGATCCAGGGGGAAGGAATGTCCTCTAAAGGCACCAACTGTTTCTCTCTTTGCCTCATGAAACTCTGGATCCAAAGGATAAGGGACGCTTGTTCCCAATCTAACTATGGGATTTTGTAATCAGTGCCACTGAATTAGAGAACGTTGTTCTAAACATAGTTTGAGTTGCACGTAGTTCTTCATCGCTTCCTTCGCTGGTGTGAAAGCCAACCAGTTGGTTCCCTTCTACTTCTACCTGAATTCTTCCCAAATCTTTGACTTTTGTCAGGGTAAATTCACACTTCTCTGGAGTAGAACTGTCTACCCACCCATGGGAAATCTCAGCAATGCTAATGAGGAATGGCTTCCCCAAAGACGCCCACTTCATTTCTTTAATCTGGTGGCACAGGTCTAAATTAGAAAACTCGGGATCAGGATCTCGGTCAGCTAACATTCAACAGAGACTTCATTTTATACCCATTTTCAGCAACTACCAAGTGTGAGTTCATCGAAAATACCACTTCTATTGCCTCCTCATCCGCACAGTTAAGGAAAGTGTTTCCCAAATCATAGGATCAGCTCAGAGATAGCTTCAGGAGTAATTTCCTGTTGGGCTTGGATTACAACTCTCTGGGAAATACAGGTTCATTTTGCCTAGTTCTAGGTCACTGACTGTGGAATCCAGATCACCTGAGAAAACACTGACCTAAACCACTGAACACAAACATTATCACATCTGTTTACTTCAGTTAGTTACACAATTGGGGTTGTGCTGTTGTTCACCATTTGAAAGTAGAGATTTTAAAACATTAGTGTTTCCTTGGTAGCATGTCCAATTGCTTAGCGTATCCTCTCCTATTGACAGAACTTTCTCCAGGTGATCATGAAGGGGAGTGGGGAAAAAGCAAAATATTAAGTAAGAAATGACTTAGCAAATGGTCATATGTCTCTAAGTCCCCGATAATTCTGAGCTACATTCTGCCGAACAAAATTAATGTCCATTTATGTGACCGAATAGAGAAAGAGAGAGAAAAACCCACATCTCAGAGAGGGATACAACATTTTCAGTTTCATATTAAGTAAAATTCCAGAGCCAGTTACATCTGACGACTCAGAATCAGGACCACCGATTCTCTCATCTCATTCTCCTCCGGTCTGTTCAAATCTGCTTCAGTCAGTACTGTCTCATTATTACTGGGTCAAGTTATTTACAAAAGTTTCAGCATCATAATACCAATGTTCCCGTCTGCAACAATCCCAACTCCTGAGGGGAAAAACCCAGCAGCGGCTTTGCCATAAAATGGAAACTGGGATTTAAACTCTGCAAGATCACACATTGTTTGAAGTCAATTCAAATTGCCCTTTAAAGTCTGTGACACTTTCATCTCCAGGCCTAAGAGTTGGATTTGGAATCAAAGCACCATTCCCAAGCAGCGAGAGCTGGGCACACTGCATCACCTCACACTTCGGGAGGTGGACAAGCAGCATGTGAAGAAGATAAACTCTGCACGGCTCCCACAGAAGGTAACACTGCTGAGATGGTGGGGAAGGAGGGAATTCCTTTGATTCATCCCATTTCCTTCTGGTGCTAGAGAGGCTGAAATGACATGTTTTACATGCCTCTGTCTCTGCTTAAATCTATTTTAAATGAGAAAAATGGAACTAAAAACAACAACTGTTTAGCAACCAACAGGGCAACGTGAGAACAACTGGGAATGAGACAATTCTTCCCCAAAAGGGGGAACGTGCCGACGCTAGCAACTGCTTTGTAGTGGGAGGAAGAGTAGAAATACGTGCGCCAGGTCTGTCTGGTTAGACTAGGAAAACTGATGGAGGTTAGGTCAGGTCATGAGGAAATGTGCCACGTAATCTCTTCACTGCAAGAGTAGTTGTTTTTACACATCAGGACAGCTAACTCGAGCTAGCTAACGCCACGGAAAAGCGGAGTGGAGATGAGACCCAGGTGGATTTTAACTCTGTGTAGCTCGTCAAGATTACCCCTCTGTCTCCCACCTCGGATTGATGGGAACAGGGACACACACTCCCATGACTCATAAGTAAGGGCCTTTGTTTTCGGGTTTTATTTTATTTAATTTCGCCGGGAATTTATCAGTGTTTATTACTACAGCGACAACAAAAAAGGTGAAAATCGGTGGAAAAAACTATGAATAATTTTTCTGGGTAAATATTGGGGTTTATTTTGGTGGACAGAAGGATGGGGGGGAAGTATTCAGTATATTAATGCTTTGATGAATGGAATTCAGGGTGGTCTGCTGCACAACTAAAACAGAGCTCAAACCATAATGCCACCTCTGAGATTAAGATAATAATATATCTCTAGTCCCCAAATAAAACTTGTCATTTGAATTAACAGGTTACTGTTGGGGACTCAGAACTAGTAGCCTATAAATATTTACATGTAATAATTGGGTCACACCATTTGGAGCACATACACTCACCTTCATCCTTGTCTCCTGCTTTTGTTTTTTTAAAGCATTTGAATACGTACTTGGGTCCCGAAATGTATTCGGAGGCAGATTTTCATTTTCTTCCAATGTTAGTGTGTCAGATCTTTAAAGCGTTATCTGCTAACAGCTTGACCATGTGAACGTAATGGGTGTGAGATTCATCAGTACCGTCAGATGCGCACGCACATCAGAGCCTGTGAGCGCCTGTTTAGTGTGTGTGTGTGTGTGTGTGTGTGTGTGTGTGTGTGTGTGTGTGTGTGTGTGTGTGTGTGTGTGTCGTACGTAC